GTTCGTAGATGCAGACTGCCTGGTTGGGGTCCGCGTGACTATCGTAACCAATGGTTGGAGACTCTTGGTGAGATGGCTCAGAATCGACCACAATGGCGTCGGTGTATGCACTCTCTGTCTTCCTTTAAACTAAGAGATTAAAATCACTTCAGATCTTTCTTTCTACGAACTAATTCTATCTTCCTGTACTATCTCCTTACACACACTCTTTCTTCTATATATTACCACCACTGGATTAACTACTTCTATGAATCCGGTGTTCATCTTGTTGTGCTAGTGCGGTATGGCAACTTGGACCGATGCATATACGTGCCTGGTCCTACGTTGCAGCTGACTGACTGATGTGAGACAACTACATGGCACAACGAAGAAAATAGCAAGGAAATATAGTAAACCCTAGAGACCGGTTAAGGACGAAGAAGGCGAGCCCATCGCTGAAACTCAAGGACAGAGGAACAGATAGATGGAACACGTCGAGCAACTCTTGAATGAACTAGCCCCATTGGATCCATCGGACATCGATGCATTACCTACAGACCTTCCTGTAGATGTCACTCCACCAACGACCGAAGAAATCAGGATGGCCATCAGACAAACCAACGGTAGGAAAGCAGCAGGATCTGAAAATATACCAGCTGAAGCATTAAAGTTAGACAGAAAAGTAACTGTAAAGATGCTCCACGTTCTATTCAGGAAGATTTGAGAAGAACACGTGCCATCGACAGACTAGAAAGAGGGATATATCATCAAGATTCCAAAGAAAGGAGATCTAAACAAATGTGAGAACTACAGAGCATCACACTACTGTCAGTACCAAGGAAGGTTTTCAACAAAGTGTTGATGAATTCGATGGAAGATTCAGTAGACAACCAGCTTTAAAATCAACAGGCTGAATTCAGTAAGGATCAGTCGAGCACAAACCAAGCTGAGACACTACGGTTCATCGTTGAACGATAGATTGAATGGAACTCGACACTATACATCAACTACCTCGACTATGAGGTGTTTGACAGTATGGATATGAGGATCATATGGAGCCCTCTTCGATACTATGGTGTAATTGACAAGATCGCTACTATATTACGGGATTCTTACGACAGACTACACTGCAAAGTCGTGAATGCAGAACGGCTGGTAAATGCATTCCCAGTGATGACCGGTGTTAGACAAGGCTGCTTATTCTCCCCTTTCCTCTTTATTCTGGTGGCAGGCTAGATTAAGAAGACCTCCACATCCCAGGAAAAGCACAGCATACAATGGACAGCTTGCACATAAATAGACGATTTAGCCTTCACAGTACACTTAGCTCTTCTATCCCATACACATCAGCAAATAATGCAAGTGATCATGGTATATGTGCCGTCATAGATCAGTCTGATAGAGTGGCGGAACATGCGTGTAGTGTCCGTACACCCACTGAACAGAAGTATTCAGTTGTCGAAAAGGTGTGTCTAGCGATTGTTTGGGCAGTAGACAAATTAAGACCATACCTACTTGGTAGGCGATTTCACATTGAGACTGGTCATAAACCCCTAGAGTGGTTGAAAACAGCCAAAACCCCGATGGGAAGTCGGCATGATGGATAGTACGTCTTCAGGAGTACGATTTCAATATCGGGCATGATCTAGGAAAGAAAAATGTAGTAACGAGCTACTTATTAGGGCCGGACATGGAAGTTGAACTCTCACTGACTGCATATGCAGTGAATAACTTAGGGAGAAACCCACTGGGAGCTTTTGTAGCCTGGGATCTGACTCCAGTACTAGCGTACGTATGGTCGTTATTGTTAATATACATATCGTCAATCCTCGTATACAATTATCGACTTAATCCGCATTAGTGAACAATGGAATTAAATAAGTCAAATACGAGAATGAATTTTGGAACACATATATTTCGTACACTCGTCGATTGGAACAGACAATCAGAGAATCGCAAATAATGAAGCGGAGAAGAGAGAGCGAAGTGAAACAAAAGGACGCTCAGTGGAGAAGGCGTGTTAGCCAACTCCATTCAACCAAGCTTTAATCAATATTTATGGCCACACACAAATAAGCTACAGGCATGTGATGAGTAGGATAAGATGTAAACACACATACGCTCATATAAAACAGTCAGGGTTGATAAGTGAATAACTAACAAGGTGGAAACGTGACTCAAAAAGAGTAAATAGAGTGGTCTGTCCGAAATCTGGAATAAGCTGTGTGGGCTTAACATAGTAATTGACACCGTCTTAAGGCCAATGAATACAACTACAGTCGTACATTGAAAGGTATGTCTATGTCTCAGGACCTGCCTAAGGATGAATATTTGGTCTATACATCCACGTCCAGGTCTGAAATCAATTTGGTTTTTTCAGGTTTGCTCTTCCTGAGCTCTAGTTGGACGTCGAAGTATTCTAGAGGCTAATATTTTAGACATTATGTTAGCCAAATTGATTCCTCTGTGATTATTTCAAGAGGATTTTTGTCGTTTCTTAAAGACTGGGAAGATCAGCGGTCGTTTATTTATTTATTTATTTGAACACATAAATATTGGTACAGAGGGGCACCAAATATATATGCGCCACACAAAACAATGATAATTTGAAGAGAAGGAGAAAAGAGAAAAAAAAAGTAATGAACGTGGGGAATTATAAAAAAAAGGGAGAGAGAGAGAGAGAACAATGGTGGGGGAAACGGAAAGGTACAATCAGAAGAGATCTTTCAGTTAAGGAAGATATAAACACTTTTTATGAAGAAAGTAAGAGGTTACAGCACGATCGCCATTGGCTTCTATTCTTAGCCATATCTGATAACGTCTCTAGCCACTGCGTTACACCGTCTCTCGGACCCCAACCAGGGAGTCGTGAAGGACCAACAAAAGCCAGTCCTTTGCAGCTTTCTTTCATACCACGACACCATGTCATATACTGACCACCTCTCCGCTTTTTCCAACCAGTCCCAGAGTCGGCAAATAATGCACGACGTGGAATTCTCTGGGACGACATTCGTAGAACATGTCCAAGCCACCGAAGTCGGTGTTTCAAGATGGTGACACCAATTTCATTATCGTCTCTGTGACCGAACACTCGATGCCGAACCTCTGCATTACTGACATGGTGTTGCCACTGGATGCCAGCAATCCTTCGGAGACAACGATGATCGAACACAGAGAGATCATGATCGAACACAGAGAGCGGTCGAGACTAGTCATATGGGATTACGTCCAGTTCCCAGATTCTAGCTAAGATTTCAGTTAATCTAACTGCTAAAATTGGACCACCATCCTTAAAATTCACAGAGGTTAGTCCATCAGGTCCTGCTGCTCTTCCCCGCTTTAGATTATTTATAGCCTTTTCAACCTCGCTAAGAGTTAGAGAACTCATATCAGTCTGTTATGCGGGTTGCTTGGAGATAGTGGGTAGCTGAAGTGTGACTGAAGGCCAGTTGAACTCTTCCATAAAGTATTTTGCCCATCGGTCTAATCTCTTGGATTGAGAGTAAATAATAGTCCCATCTTTTTCCGAGACACTTTCACTGACGGTCGTATCTTCAATATCCGTTTCCTTGATGAGTTTGGACGGTTGTATACTGTTACCTATCGCCTCTGCCCTCTTCTAAGTGTTCCTGAAATATATATGCTTAACCTTTTCATTACTAATTTGAGCTAGATAAGTGAGTAGATACAACGCACATCCAAAAAGTACGAACTGGTATACCCAAAAATAAATCAAAAAGACTGACGATATAGTAATCAAAAGATTAAATACATACAGATCACTGTATTATGCTGATGAGATGATCGATAACGACACTGTCTAGTTTAAATAATAAAAGCCCTTAAGTCTATGGCATAGTTATATAGCTTTTTTAACATTAGAACCGTTTTATTACCAACAATAAATAGCCAAACATCATTGAAAATTGGACAGTTTTAGTTGATTATACGCAACTAATGAACATACCCTATTAATTGCTTCAGTATCTATGTCTCAGTAACCCATTTAAATTACCTAATACCGCCTGTCGTGAAGCTAGAAATAAATATAACTCTGAATCACTATTTATTTAAAAAATGAGTTCATTCGCATGACAGAGTAGGGAATTTTAGACTTATAATCAGTGCTCTATCTGAATGACGGTAGAGAATAACCTACAACTATTGATCAAGAAGTTCGAAAAACAGTATTCTGGCTTAGGGGTTATCTAAGACCGATTTCAGATAAACCAACAAAATTACTAAGAACGTTCACGAAGACAAGATCATGGAACGTTTGAAAGGATAACTTGAGAAAGCTTCATCGCGAACAGGTGTATGAGGAGTTTCCTTCTCGGCTTACAGAATAACCACACTTGAACATTGGTACAAAAAGCTCTAAGTCACATCCCAACAGTAAATCCTGCGCAATGACTCAAAAAAGTGAACACATTGTATATCAATAACTTCGAAGAGCATCTGGGTCCTAGAGAACTAATGTACTCATTTGCACTAGACTCCAACTTACTCTGAAATGAAACAGTATATTATTTCTGAAAATAAACTGTCGTGTCAGACGTGCGAGCACATTTTTTTTCTAGAAACAAACTGTTGTTATATGCGAAAAACAACAGATGCAGTTTCTTACGGAGCAAGTCAGTGGCGTTAACTATACAACAGTAAAGGAATTGAATTTTAACGTACAATATTTACGAAGCAATTTTAAAGCATCCACACAAACAGGCGACTAGTTGAAAAAAGACTACCGGCATTTCTCCTCCCTTACAAGTTACAAAATGATTACTTTGGATTACGGATCCGTGCAATGTATTTAGCCTTGACAATCAATATGGATTATAACGGAATATAAAGACGTGTAGTTAGGTGTCAAGTTAGTAAAGTATAATCTGTAGATCTTAATTTAGAATTTCTATGAGTCAGAGAATACTGTGAGAAAGTTGAGATTATGCAAAGTAGTTCGCTAAGATATACTGAACTTAGTATAACTCAATACACTAAATATCCTGAAAACGATCACTAACCTCTCGAATACAGCAAGCGTGCAGGCCTTTTGAAACTGTCCATAAAGTTGTTAAATTCTGTTTGAATAAACTACGAATGTCATTAAAATTAACCGGATTACCTGAGGAGCGTCGCCAAATTCGCTAGAAAAATTCCGAATTAGCTCATGCATAGCGAAGTAGGCAGGCATCAGGCATATCTCACGACACAAAAGTAGCTGTATTAACTAAAAAGACATAAAGTATGAGGTAAACTAAACCTCTAATGAAGGATCAATAGTATAAAACAAGTTGCGGTCGCAGAACATTTTCTCTGTAAACTGTGATGACTTTTCAATGCTTTTATTAAAAACTTCACGGTTGCTCTTTATCAAACAAATAAACAAATTTTGACGACTTACCTTATAGTCCAGAAAAAAAATGAGCTTTAGAAGAAGCTTAAATGTGCACCGAAACAAGATGGGAGACTCCACACGCAGATGCTCTGAGCATACCAGTGAATGAGCGATTTCTCTGAAGAGTGAGATATAGTTAAATATACCTTGGCGAGAATATTGTCTTTTCAATGGCAAAATCTATGCTCCACAGAATTCGCATCACAATACGTTCATGTTTTATATTGGCTAGCCTTGACATTAAACAATCCAGTGCCCTGAACCTCTTGATTATGTCAATTATTAGCGGTCACGTGTCTTACTGATTTTTGATGTAGAACCTCGCTCCACAGCCTTTGTGACCTGATAACATCCATATTTATTAAACTCATTCCTTCATCTGATATCATACCACCAAGTGACTCTTCTAGCATTACAGAAACCTAAAGATGAATCATATATCACAAACTTACTGTCAACTCATTTATGAACCTATCTATTGCAATCACCGGATCATGTATCATTTCCAGTACAAAAGTTTATTCAATTCTTTAAAGTTTTCAGAATCTGAGTTATCAAATTAACGATCGTCAACTCGAGTTGACTTTCTAGTTATTTACCAGAAAAGTCGAAGGTCTGAAGAATAAAAGAATCAACAAAACAGTGATAGAACGAATGAGCATGTAAATATGATACTGGTGGTAAAAAATAAGGTGGGAAAAAAAACAGTGAACTAGCAGAAGTGAGACAAGACAATGTAAAGCCACACTTGTATAGCCGCGTTTACTATTCGATTCCAGATATGTAAACACATAAATATATATCTGAACACTGTGAAGAAAAGCGACTATTACTAAATTTTATCAGTGGGCTGGAACGATTTTACTGAATTACTTAGATGGCTGAATCTCCAAATACTATAATATAATAATGTAATATAATATTATATTACATTATTGTATATACATTTCTGCACGGGTAGCTTATTCCACCACGATATGTGTGTAGCGATAAATAAAGCCCCGAGATAAAGTTTTATATGTCTTTGACATTGATGCTGACCTCATTAGTTTTACTGGACAAAGTACAGCTGTAGGTGTTCTGTCAGGCATCCCTACCAGATCACGAGTGGGCATACTGTGATACGCGTCAATTTCAACTGTCTTTCAACTCAGACCAAACGCTTCTCGATAAACCGATAGTCTTCCAAATGTATCTTCGAAACTCTTCATTTCTGACTTCTCATTTGACACATTTGACCGCAGTCACTTCATTGGGAGGAGGATTCCAAAGGGGGCAGGAGAAGACAACCAGCGTAGCTGCAGCCTCAGCAGCAATAGGTCTCAATATACACAAAGGGAAAAGCAAGATTCTTCGATACAACACAACATGTACCAATCCAATCACAATTGACGGAGAAGCTTTGGAAGATGTAAAAACCTTTACATATTTGGGCAGTATCATCGATGAACACGGTGGATCTGATGCAGATGTGAAGGCACGGATTGGCAAAGCAAGAGCAGCATATCTACAACTGAAGAATATCTGGAACTCAAAACAATTAGCAACCAACACCAAAGTCAGAATTTTTAATACAAATGTCAAGACAGTTCTACTGTATGGGGCGGAAACCTGGAAAACTACGAAATCCATCGTCCAAAAGATATAGGTGTTTATTAACAGTTGTCTACGCAAAATACTTCAGATCCGCTGGCCGGACACTATAAGCAACAACCTACTGTGGGAGAGAACAAATCAGATCCCAGTGAAGGAAGAAATCAGGAAGAAGCGCTGGAAGTGGATAGGACACACATTGAGGAAAACACCCAACTGCGTCACAAGACAAGCCTTCACACGGAATCCTCAAGGTCGAAGGAGGAGAGGAAGATCAAAGAATACATTACGCCGGGAAATGGAGATAGATATGAGAAAAATGAACAAGAATTGGATGGAACTAGAAAAGAAGGCCCAGGACAGAGTTTGTTGGAGAATGCTGGTCGGCGGCCTATGCTCCATTGGGAGTAACAGGCGTAAGTAAGTAAGTAACCCAAATGAGAAAGAACGAAAACATAGGTGGATTCCCGCCCTCTGAGGTGTAAGTACTATGAGATGGCCTCGAGGAGCATAGTTGTGATCTTTTCTGAAAGATGGTCGTGTTGGGGTGACTTGGCATACTCATCGTGTTGTATACCATTTGCAGGTCACCTCTCACTCTCCTGTGGCTCAAAGAGAACAACCTCAAGTGTCAAAGTCTGTCTTTGGATCTATCAACCATTTAGTAAACCGTCTCAGTGTTTGGTCCTAGACTTTAATGTCTGTTTTGAAGAAAGGAGCTTCAACAACATTCAGGACTTAAAGGTCTTTCTATGCGTACGTTTTGAGGTAAATTTGGATCAACTTTGGTGTGAGAACAGCATGCTAAGCTGTGCTGTCAGAATTGACGCTTCTCCTCGCAGTACTGAAGAATGAACCATAACCGAACCAGGATAAATGTCCTTTCTTGGGTGCTACTGTTTCCGGTACACAAAGTCGGCTCTCAGGTCCCTTCGGAAAGTCCACTGCAGTTGCAGATGAAGCTTTCATCAATATAGTTAATGTGGGTCGAGTGAAATGACCGAGAATATTGTTCAGCCAGAACGTTGGCAGCGTCACCGTTTGTATTGGTCGGGCCATTATGACTTAGTAGTTGAGAAACCCCAGTCCTGGCTTGTAGAAGAGAAACCGCATAACGGAATAAGCTTTTCGGATTGGAGATAAATTTATCCATAAGCTTTATCTGGTACTGAAGCCTGTTTTCTCTTATTGCATATGTTTCTTATATGTTCGTATTGCATGTGTGCGCCGTTATTACCAGTTCGTTTGTATTCCTCCCAGCAGTGCCTTTGTCGGCTTAGCAAACGAAGAGTGCGGTTCTTGATGACTATAGGTTGCTTGTAGAATTTGGGGACCATTTGACGACCATTTGAGGAACAGACTGCATTATAGCACATAAGATCGTGTGCAGTAAGAGATCCTAATGGGCATCCACATCAAGTTGAGGGTAAATTTCCCAACCCATCTATTGTAGATTTTCCTGTAGAGCTGACACATTCAACCGTATGAAATTCCAGAACCTGTTGTTGGTGGGATGTGTTAGCTCAGTTTTCCTGACAAAACTGAAGGCTATGACGGCATGATCGCTTTTCCACAGAGGAGGCAGGATTCAGAGGTTGTCAACTGGGAGTTTTTCGTTTGTAATTACCCAGTCTAAGTGCGATGGCATCTGACGGTTTCTCCAACGAGTTGCCCATTTCACATTTTCGAATAGTCCCAGATCGTCAGTGAGGTTGAAGAACCGAGCTTCAATAGAGTTTTCACCTCCAATATACGTATGATCCGCAAAATTGACCTTAGGAAGACTGAATTCCCTAGAATCAGGATATGGGTGTGTCCGAGACGAGTCGAATGGTATAATACTTCCAGCATACGATTTTCATACTCGATGTCACCAGTGGACTTCCTGTCGATGACTCCGACTAGACACCTAGAGGTGGTAAACAATCTTACTGAGCACCATACGGATTCATCAAGATTGATAGACTCTTGGTTGTGCACTTGATGTGTGTCCAGGCACAATCGTAAGTATAAGGCTACTCCTCTCCCGATTTCTCACTTTCTGTCATTGTCAAACGAAGACATCCTGGGTATTGCTAGCTCCTAGTCCGTAAACTGAGAAGGTATTCAAGTTTCAGATATGCCTATCAGATGAGCATTATTAGCGTTGCTGAGTTCATGCATCTCATCCATTTTATTCAGTAAACTCGCGGCGTTCATGTACAAACAGACTATGCTTTCAATCTGAAACGCGTGAGCTTCTCCTTCTTGTTTGTTTGTTTGAGCCTTACGTGAATGGACAGGTAGCCTTACTATACAAGGTTTTCCGAATTGATAATTCCTGTTCTTTACACATTTTTTATGATCAAGACAGTCCATAAGTGGAATAATAATAATAATATATTTCTGCATGAGCAGGTACACGACATTTTTACAGGCATGATCTACAAATTACGACATTTGTTGGAGCATAGCATGCTTCCTAACTTATTAAGTTTATAGTTGTTGTAAAGTAGTCTCGTAGAGCGCTTGTTGTAACCCATGGCCTTGAGTTGACGCATACGTCAAGTTTGTTCCAGACGTTAGAAGTTCCATAGCTGTGCCCTCGGAGCAAGATTCTGAAGAAAATAAAAAAAAGAAACAGCAGAGCAACAAGGCACTTGGATATGGACTCCAAACGTTGCTTAACATTACGTAGAACAGACAGAGGTATAACAAATTAGATTAAATTCATATTATCTCTTGTTAGAGTGAAATGAAGTCAGAGGCTCCATTCAAGAGAATGTAGTAATAAAGAACAATGAATTGTGATGTTTAACAAGTTGGAGTAAGCTCATATGAAGAAAGGGAAGTTGAGGTTGGCACATGGAAAGTTGTTTATTAGAAGGAAGTATGCATATGGAGGGTGAAGTGTTGAAAATATTATTTACTCTCAATCCAAGAGATTAGACCGATGGGCAAAATACTTTATGGAAGAGTTCAACTGGCCTTCAGTCACACTTCAGCTACCCACTATCTCCAAGCAACCCGCATAACAGACTGATATGAGTTCTCTAACTCTTAGCGAGGTTGAAAAGGCTATAAATAATCTAAAGCGGGGAAGAGCAGCAGGACCTGATGGACTAACCTCTGTGAATTTTAAGGATGGTGGTCCAATTTTAGCAGTTAGATTAACTGAAATCTTAGCTAGAATCTGGGAACTGGACGTAATCCCATATGACTAGTCTCGACCGCTCTCTGTGTTCGATCATGATCTCTCTGTGTTCGATCATCGTTGTCTCCGAAGGATTGCTGGCATCCAGTGGCAACACCATGTCAGTAATGCAGAGGTTCGGCATCGAGTGTTCGGTCACAGAGACGATAATGAAATTGGTGTCACCATCTTGAAACACCGACTTCGGTGGCTTGGACATGTTCTACGAATGTCGTCCCAGAGAATTCCACGTCGTGCATTATTTGCCGACTCTGGGACTGGTTGGAAAAAGCGGAGAGGTGGTCAGTATATGACATGGTGTCGTGGTATGAAAGAAAGCTGCAAAGGACTGGCTTTTGTTGGTCCTTCACGACTCCCTGGTTGGGGTCCGAGAGACGGTGTAACGCAGTGGCTAGAGACGTTATCAGATATGGCTAAGAATAGAAGCCAATGGCGATCGTGCTGTAACCTCTTACTTTCTTCATAAAAAGTGTTTATATCTTCCTTAACTGAAAGATCTCTTCTGATTGTACCTTTCCGTTTCCCCCACCATTGTTCTCTCTCTCTCTCTCCCTTTTTTTTATAATTCCCCACGTTCATTACTTTTTTTTTCTCTTTTCTCCTTCTCTTCAAATTATCATTGTTTTGTGTGGCGCATATATATTTGGTGCCCCTCTGTACCAATATTTATGTGTTCAAATAAATAAATAAATAAACGACCGCTGATCTTCCCAGTCTTTAAGAAACGACAAAAATCCTCTTGAAATAATCACAGAGGAATCAATTTGGCTAACATAATGTCTAAAATATTAGCCTCTAGAATACTTCGACGTCCAACTAGAGCTCAGGAAGAGCAAACCTGAAAAAACCAAATTGATTTCAGACCTGGACGTGGATGTATAGACCAAATATTCATCCTTAGGCAGGTCCTGAGACATAGACATACCTTTCAATGTACGACTGTAGTTGTATTCATT